TACTTTTCACATTTGACTAAGCATTTTTGTATGTTATCACTCTTTATTACCAAGTCAGTCGTTTTAACTTCTGTTAACTAGATGTATTCCACTTGTTGGAAAACAAATGGAATCAGTATACATTTTTTTAAAAAAGTGTACTTTTTTGGGGTATATTTTTCACTTAGGATGTTTGTGAGATACATGCATAAATTGCGAAGGCTATTAGAAGCTCATTTATTTTTGCTTTGTATGAATTTGCTATGTTTTGCTTCCAGATTTTTTCTTTTTATATTTGGACTTAAGTTTTAAGATATTATACCCATCATTGCTATGAACATATTTACTGTATGGCGATAGCACAGCAGTAGGGCGTTTGCCTTACAAGCGGCCAACATGGCCGACCCGAGTTCGATTCCTCCGCCCCTCTCGGAGAGCCCGGCAAGCTACCGAGAGTATTCGATATGCCAGACACAGTAACAACAAAGTCTCCAATGGAGACGTTACTGGGCCCGCTCGAGCAAATCGACGATCAACGGGAGAGCCTTTACCTTTACCTTTTTGTTAAATCTATGCTTTCTCTTTTCTTTAATATGTCTAGGACTAGAATTATTAGAATAGATGTGTTTGAACTTTTTTTAACTTGCTAGTTTTTTCAAAAATAATGTATACCATTTTAAACTCACATCAGAGTAGTATGAGTATTCTAATTGCTTTATGTAACCAAGTCCAAATCCCCAGAACCAGTTCATCTTTATGGCTAGAGGAACTTCCCTGATAAAATATTTTGACATGGGGAAATACTTGTGGTTTATCTGGGTCCTCCTCAGTGTCATAAATAAACATCCTTGTAGGAGAGAGGTAGAATTAGAGGATGACAGCGTGACAATGGAGTCAAAGATTAGAATGATGTTCTTTGAAGATGGAAGAAAGAGGCACAAGCCAAGGAAAACAGGAAGTCACTAGAATCTGAAAAAGGCCAGGAAATGAATTCTCCCAGCACACTCTTTTTCAGAAAGAACAAGTTCAGTGGATACCTCAACTAAACCGTTGAAACTCATTACTCATTGGTAAATCTGGGTTATTTTAGACCACAGTAGGAAACTAGTGTACTAATACACTCCACATCCTTACTGACATATGGTGGTGTCAGAATATTTTGAGCCATTCTAGATAGAGTGAACGATACTACATTGTGATTTCAGTTTGTATTTTCTGAGTGACTGCTAATACTGAACACCTTAATGTGCGGTGGGTCCTTCTTAGTCTTTCAGGAATTCATGTTAACTGTCAAACTAGTTGACTCAACCATTTTCTTTAACTTTATCTTAATATTTAAAGTCATGACATCCTTTTATAAATGGGTTGGTAGTTGCCATCAATTTTGAAGAATTCTTGGTCATTAATTTTTATATATTTTTCCTGCCCCATACTTTCTTTCTTCTCTTTTTGGCATTCCTGTTAACTCAGTTGATATTTAGTATCAGGTGGTTAGAGGCTTTTTGCACCTAAAATTTTCTTCTTTCACAATTCAGTTTTGGTTGTCAGCTCTAGCCTATCTTCAAGACTCATTTCTGTCTGATATTAAATCCATTAAATTTTTTTTAATATCTTGTCCTGTAATTTTATTTTCCTGTGATCCTCTTTTATAGTTTCACTGTCTATGAAAAAATTGTTTCATTCATTATGCTTGTTGCCTATCTCTTCCATCAGATACTTTAAGTTTTTTTTTCCTTAATCATAGTTGCTTTCAAGTCTATATCTGATAATTCCAGCAACTGGGCTCTCCCTGATCTGATTGCATTAATAATTTTGTCTTTTGACTTACAGTTTGCTCAAACTCCATGATGATGTAATTTTGATTGATTTATGAAAATAGAGATTAAAGTAAATTTTTATCTCCAGAAAATGGTTTATCATTTCTTTGTGCCATTTAGTAGGGCTAAGTAGTGTGATAAATGGTTGAGCTAGTTTGGGCCTTGTTGCAACTTTAGTTAGATTCACTTCAAGTATTGTGAGAGCAAAATTAAGGGTTTATTTACTGGAAGATTGTTATCTGAGAATAATTTCAGTAATCTCTTTGTGCTTTAAATCTGAACCTTCAGCTTTTTGAGCCATATGTTATTTATTATTCTGCTTTATTCAGTCATCACTGTTTTGGTCATTCTAGAGGGTTTTTTCCTTCAGTTCTGTCCCAGATTTTTGGGCCTGGTGAAATAGTTCTCTACTAGTAGTACTTTCCAGGGATTTCCTCTCAGCAGGCCTTCTCTACATCAGTCATGATATCTCCAGCATTCTGAAGATCTGAATGAAAGTTTTTCTGTTTTCCTGTGCTTCCACAAAACCTTGGCAGTTGAGTATTTAGTCTCTTGAATTGATTCTCCTGCTTATTCCCACCTGCAATCCTCTTCAGACAACCAGATTCCTTGTATTTGAAGATTAAAATTTCTTTTTATTTTTTTTCAAGAAGACTGTAAATTTCTTAGACCGTATTATAGAGTTCCAGCCATGCCTTCCACCCTCATATTTGTTTGTGTTTGTTTTTGGACCACATCCAGTGATACTCAGGGCTCACTCCTGGCTCTATATTCAGAAATGACTCTTGGTGGTGTGTAGGGGACCATATGGGATTCAGGCATGTACTACTACCTACCCTCTACTCTATTGCTTCAGCCCCCTTCACTTCTATATTTTTTTGGCTTATCTGATCAAGCATTTGGTGAAGATCTATGGGAATAACTGGTGGGTAATGCAGTTTGTTTTGTAAGAACTTTGGAGTTGTTGTATGTCAGTCTGTATGTTAAAATTTATTAACGTTTAGAGTAGTTTTTCTTATGCTCATCTATAGTGGGACTATTCATGCCTCCTTTTCTACTTCACCAGGAAAGAAATGTTTCTATCAAACTCTGATACTGGCTGGGACTTTAGTTCAACTTATGTAACTTAAGAACCTTCACTCAGGTGTGTTCAGTAACTGCCAGGTTTTGTAGCTTTTGTATTTTCAGTGTGAAAGTTCTGACAGCTCTCTGCTGTGATTTTTCTGCATCCTGATTAGAAGTGGTACTTTTGTCATGGAATAATTTCTAATACGTAGTCTATGTCAAATTCTTGATAAAATTTCTATTATTTCCATTTAGCAGTGTATATAGCATTTCTTAGAACTTTTCTAATCCCAATTTCTAATTCTAAATGCGATTTCTTATTCTTTTTCAATCTTCTCAAGTTTTTACTCGTCCATTCTGGTTAAGTGGTGAATGTTCTTGAATCATTTTGAGATTAAAGTTATCAACACTGAAATTTAATTGAGATTCTTGTGGTGAGTGTGAAAGGAATTCATGTTAAGGTGTACAGAAAAGTAAATGAAAAACTGAAGATAATTAGTGGTGGTGGGTGAGAAATAGACTTGATTATATTAGTAGTTTACTGCTATTCTTATCAGGTGACAAAATTATATACATAGTTATTTAACTATGGAGATAGTTTTATTTTTCTAACCCTGTACTAGGATAGCATGAGATTAAAACATTTTATGACTATGGTGACTCTTAGCAAACCTGATTCTATCACTATGCAGAGTCAATGGTGGAGTCTGCGTTGGAGAAAAATAATGGTGTGGGGGGTTGGGGGCATATCCAGTGGTGCTTAGAGGCTAGTTCCAGCCCAGTGGGTAGGTGGTAGTTCAGTGATGCGGGAGATCAAGCTAGGACTTCCAGCATGGAATGAATATGCACTCGTCCGGAGGTGTCTTTCTGACTCTATGATAATTGCTTCTTAGGTGAGGAAAAGACAGTGGTCATGATATAAATCTATAGAAAGCTAAATGGTTTTCTATAGGTTTATAATTCTGTAAACCATGATGCAAATCTGTAGAAAAGTAAATGATGTTTTAGTAGACACTAATAATTATAAGCTGTTATACTAGGGCATACATAGACAGGATTAAATAAATTTTAAAAAATTTTAAAGAACTGTCCCATCCTGTGAAAAGAGGAATTATATTTTTGTTATTTATCATCTATATGGTTGTTTAGGTAAAGATACATTTTTAAATATTCCCAGTTACATCTTCAAGCAATGATAAATGTAAGACAGACCTTTCTTTACACTGCATTACCATTTTATTCTTGTTTTACTTCATCTTGCGTTTATTTTCCCCTCTTAGAACTTTACATTTTACTTTATGGTATCTAATTTGATCAGTTTTACAAGTTTGAAACTTTAGGGAGAATGGGCTTGTAAATTAAAAAAAAATTTTTTATTAAATATTTTGAGAATAGATGAAGTTTGAGAAAGTGAGAAAATATTTTGGTGAAAATATAATTATTGATGCTATCAAGAGTTAAGGACTGAGCCATAGCACAGTGGGTAGGGCATTTGCCTTGCATGTGGCTGACCCGGGTTTGATTCCTCCGTCCCTCTTGGAGAGCCTGGCAAGCTATTGAGAATATCCCACCCTCACGGCAAAGCCTGGCAAGCTACCCATGGCATATTTGATATGCCAAAAACAGTAACAAGTCTCACAATGGAGACGTTACTGGTGCACACTCAAGCAAATCGATGAAAAAATGGGAGGATAGTGCTACAGTGCTACTATCAAGAGTTAAAATAGAGAACAGAGACTGCATCCTGGAGGTCTGCCTAGGTTTGATCCTTGGCACTTCACGGTTTCCCTAGCTCAGAGTCAAGAGTAACCCCTGAGCACCACTGGGGTGTGGCCCATCCCCAGGAACAAAGCCAAAAAGTTGAAATTGGATTGGAGTGCTAAATTTGTTCAGTCTTTATAAAGATATATGCTCATAGACTTGTCCATGTAACTTGGTCTTGTTTTCAGAAGGGTTTATTTCCAGTGTGTTGAAATTTAGTAACTTTTTTTTTGTGTGTGGCTTAAGAGACTTTCTGAGACTATTGGGAAAGTAATACTTTAGATTTCTCTCTCATTGTAGTTTGCTCTCTGGCTGTGTTGAAATCATTATTGAATTTTAAAATTAAGTCTCTTAATTACCCTTTCTCTGTTACTCTAGGTTAGATAAAGGAGACTATCTTCTTGGTGTGGATTGCTGTCTTTGATAAGAACATGTCGTCCATCTTGCCATTCACTCCACCAGTTGTGAAGAGACTGCTGGGATGGAAGAAATCAGCAGGGGGATCTGGAGGAGCAGGGGGAGGAGAGCAGAATGGACAGGAGGAGAAGTGGTGTGAGAAAGCAGTTAAAAGTTTGGTGAAGAAGCTAAAGAAAACAGGACGATTAGATGAGCTTGAGAAAGCCATCACCACTCAAAATTGTAATACTAAATGTGTCACCATACCAAGGTAAGTGTTCAAAAAGAATTTGATGGCATGCTCTGGACATTTGCTTAGAGGGATCTAGAGGAAAGTTACTGAGAGTTTATTGACTTTACAGCCATCTATAAGCAGTGCTTATTAAAATATGACAGCTATTTTTGACCTGTCATAATAATTTTGTTTTACTAGTTAAAATTTGTCTATTTTATAAATCATTTTCTTGAACAGTGAGAAGGTTTGACCAGGCTAAATGAAATTCTTGGATTTTGTTTTATTTTCAGTCTTCATTTACTTGTCTTACCTAAATGCTTCATTGTATGTTATCCTAATTCCTGTGATTGAATGAAAATTCATATGCTTTTTTTAGTCCTTTCAGCAGTAGTTGAAAATTTCTTCCCCTTTGGTCATAACTTCCTTTGTTAGGAGTTACGACTATGAACACGGTGATGCATGTTGGAGTTTTGTATAAGGTACAGCATTACCCCCATTCCCAAAAGGCCAGTTTTGTGAGGCAGCTTTTTAGATACCGGGAGTATTGTTTTTGAACAACCAATTACTTTAGAGATTGAATTTATGTCAGAGGTTCTAATAATGTAAATATAATCTTTTATAGCTAGCATTCTAGTCAAAAATAGCTTTTAAAAATCAAGTAGCAAGTGGCTTTTAAATGTTTTACTGCTTCTGTGTGTGTAATATTTGAAATTGTTATACAGAACAACTTTCCAATGAAATCTGGGAAATGCACACTGGAATTCATAATACAGTACTGCAAACCTATGTACTTTCAGATACTAATAGACTGCTTCCTGCTTTGCTTGGTAAATTAGCTACTTCACTTATTTCATGAATATTGTAAATGAGTCATTTCTCTTTATTTGTTCTTTTGTTCCATGCATGCTTATGAGTATTTGCTTTGTGCACCATACTCTTTCTAGATACATGGAATACAGAGATGAACGAAACAAAATTTCTGCAGGATAGACACAGTAAATGAGTGGACAAATTAATTTGAGGCGATAATAAGTGCAAAGAAGATAATGACTAGGTTATTAAAAAATTGCTTTGATTTGTGACACCAGTTCAATTTTGAGAAGTAGATGCTAGCTGGGGGAAGAGTTCTCCAGGCAGACAAGAGTCAGGATGAAGACACGATAGGAGAAACTGTATTGGACTGGAGGGGCTAAAAGCTCAGTAGAGGAGGGCTATGGTAGTTATAATACAAAATGAGTTGCAAAACTTTAAGGCAGAGTGTGTAGGGCACTGTGGGAGCATGGATCTAGTCTAAATATAATAGAAATCAGAAAAAAGATCAAGAGATAATTACATTTTTATCTTACAGAAATCACTCTGGTTACTGGTGGGAAGATTGTGTGTGTGGGGGGGGGGGGGGGAGAAGGAAGCAGGGACATAAGGAAATAAAGTAGACTAAGTGGAATAAGATAGAAGCTGTGCTGACATGACCTGGTAGTTGTGTTAACACTTTCAAGTGGATGGGTTTGACCTGCATTTTATTTTTATTTTTTATTTGTTTTGCTTTTTGGGTCACACCCGACGATGCACAGGGGTTACTCCTGACTCTGCACTTAGGAGTTACTCCTGGTGGTGCTCAGGGGACCATATGGGATGCTGGGAATCAAACGTGGGTCGGTCGTGTGCAAGGCAAAAGACCTACCCACTGTAGTATTGCTTCAGCCCCTGACCTGCATTTTAAATGGATAAACTTTGCTAATGAATTGGTTAAGATTAGTTTTTCATTGCATAGTAGTGTCTGACAGTAACTTATTTATTAAGTATTGATTGCATGTACTTAAGATAACCTCTTCCTTACTGGAGTTAGAGTCTTTAAGGTGCCAGAGCAGTGGACAGTATAGTGGACAGGGTGCTTGCCTTGTGCATGGCCAGGCAGTTTGTTGCCCACATAGGTCCCCCGAGCCCCACCAGAAGTGAATCTTGAGCACAGAGCCAGGAGTAAGTCCTGAACACTGCTGGGTGTGACCCAAAAGCTCCTTCCACCACCTTCACCCCTCACCCCCTGCTGCAGGTAGTCTTTGCTCTTCATTTGCTTGTTAGTAGTGGAGATAAACTTTAAGAAATAAGAAAGATTAATTTTATAAGGTGTAGTGGTGTGGTAGGTACTATGGAAGGTCAGTGTGCTCCAGGGCATGTGTTCGAAGTTGGAGAACTTTGGTCTCAACAGCTTGTAAAAAGTTTCCTTCTTGGAAAAGATTTGTGCACTAGTTAAGTCTTAGTGGATGTAAAAGAGGGATTTAGTCAAGAGAAATTTTATTTGTCTGGAGTGGTATTATGGCATTTGAGAATGTGGTAGCAGGGTTTTATTGAAAGGGTTCTAAGCCACTTCCGTATCTTGGGAGGTAAAACCTGGAAGGACTGAATCTGTAGGCACTGTCACCAGCATGTGATGCTGGGGAGTTGTTGATAATGTGTGATGGGTGAGAGAAGATACTGAACAGTTGGGAGAAAAAAGACTTAGAAGTCTCATTACTTTTAAGTATTGAATCTGTCTGTGGGGAGGAAAATGGTTCTTGAATCTCTTAAGAGTGATGTCAGGGAAATGAGTTATGTCTTTGTATTATGGGTTAACAATCTCCTTCAAGGAAGACAGGGAGCCTTGTTTTTGCAAAGCTTCATCTAAGAATTAAATTGCCTATGTAGTAGAGTTATTGACTGAGCCAGCAGAACCTCTTGAGTAGAGCTATGCAGTTCTGTTTTGCAAGGAGGTAGTAGGCTGCAGTTTGATGAATAACATGTGCGGGTGTGGGTATTTAAACTATGGAGGTCATCTTTGTCATAGTTCTTTACTTTTTTGTTCCTCCTATAAAAGCCTATCTTAAAAATATGTCTCCCAATATAGTGCTTTTTCATCACTAATTTTTTTTTTCTCTTCTTTAACTGATGAATGAAAATAAGATTGTGTGTAATCTTTTTCTCTATCAGAAGTTCTTGAAGCTTAGAAATTTGCTTATCTAATTTGGAGGTTACAAGAAATGTTATATTTGTTAGTGTTGGTTGCTGTCTAAAATTAATTTTAGACTTTCTGCACTGTAGTTTGGTGCCATAAATTCTAGTTTCTTTTTAGAAGCAGAACAGTTTATTGTATCAGATTGAGTTGTTTCTCAGGTGTTAAATATCTTTTAACATTTAACTATATTACTGGTTACTATATTGTTCGATTATATTGTTTCATAATAATTTAAATATAGTTTATGATTAACTTATGATCACTATATTGATTGTATATGATCATATAATAATACAACACACTGTAAAGGGTGGGGTAGGAATTGGGATGAGAAGGTCTATTAGATAAATAAAACCATATATTAAAATATGACAAAATTGCAAGTAATTTGCTATAATTTTAATTAAATCAGTGAGATTCACAGTTGCAAAGTTGTCCATGATTGGCTTTTAGTCATACAATGTTCCAATACCAGTCCCTTTATCATTGTACATTTCCCACTACCAATGTTCCCAGTCCCATGTGTGTCCCCCCCACCCCAGCCCCAGCCTCTGGCAGGCACTTTCACTCGCTCGCTCACCCTCCTCCTCATGTTATATAATTCTTTAAGGTTTTACAAACCTAAAATGAATAAGTTTATGAGGAACTTGTAATTTAAAAAAAAAAAGGCAAGTGTTTGTCCTTACTCTTTTTGTTTCATTGACTTAATGAGTTTCTTCTCTATTACCCTGTTATAGTGGGACTAAATTTAGGGCAGAAGCATTCCCTTCACATTATTACGTCTTCATAGTTTTCCTTTGAAAGGATAGACCATATAATTACACACATATGTGACTGCTGTATCTTTCCCACTGTTCTGAGTGGTAGAAAGTAATATATTAAACTGCAGTGAGCCGAATAGTATAAAGTTTCATGAAGCTTTTTGATCTCAATGTATTTCAGTATTGAAAGATAGACAAAAATTAAAATTGAAGTTGGTATATAGGTAAAACATCAAACAAGAGGAAACAATAGCTATTTAATATGTAAATCTGTATAACAACGTAAAGAGAAACCTGCGGCGGAGTTGGAGACAATAAAACTAAAGGTTTGGGGATGAGGTGTACAGTGGCAAGTTTTTGGACTTGGAACATTGAATGCTCAAAACTGATATTAACAACTTTGTAAGTCATGGTGCCTAACTAGGCAGTGGGGTCAGAGAGTTATGAAGTTTTACTAATTTTTTAGGAGAAAACAATCTTACCCATAATTTCTTTCAGCAAAGAAAATTTACCAAACTCATTTCACATCAGAATTAGGTGTGTATAGGAAAAATTTATATCACTCTTAGAAAAATCGATGTAAAACTTACAAATGAAGAGAGTCTGGAGTTACTCAAAATAGAACTATAACATAAATATTAGGGGAGAATGATACAACATAGATATTATGTCAGAAATATTATATTCGTAACAAATACTAGAAATCCGCTCCTTACAGAAAAGCACCTGTGATTCAACTCGACTTAACATAGAAAAGTCTAATATGAGGTCTTTCATATTATTTTTGTTCATATTTGAGAACTTTGATCTTGATATAGAAAGAACTTTCTATATAATTTGTTATTGATGCTAGGAAGTTTGAGATAGGAATTTTTTAAACTAGACAAAATATACTTCTAAAATGTATACCACTAGAATGAACCTTCTAAAATGAACTTCACTTCTAAAATGAACCTCTAGAGAGAAATACACCCATTTATTATTAATGGTTATTTGTGGATAGAAAAAGAATTATCTTGTAGATTTTCATTAATATTTATGTAGGAAGTACAGTTAAATGTATAACTAGGGTGATGGTTAGGCATTTTTTTTTTACCCTTCTAAGTCAGTTTTTCTTTAAGGGCAGTTCTCTTTCAGTGTAAAAGGATAGATAACTTAAGAGCGTGATCTGTGTACATGATTAAAATTATATATGAGAAGAATGTCTCCTGCCCCCTTTTTAACCAAACTTGTCACCTAAATTCTCTCTTAAAAGACAATTGTTTTGGGGCTGGAGTGATAGCACA